CCCAGCTACCTGGGAGGCTGAGGCAGGAGAGTTGCTAGAACCTGAAGGGCAGAGGTTGTAGTGAGCCAAAGTCATGCCATTATTGCACTTCAGCCTAGGTAACAGAGGGAGACTCTGTCTCAAAAACAAAAAAACAAAACAAAACAAAATAATTAAGCCCAAGCCGGGGCAACACAGGGAGACTTTGTTTCTACCAAAAATTTTAAAAACCACCTGGGCATAGTGGCGTGGACCTGTAGTCCCACCTACTCAGGAGACTGAGGTGAGAGGCTTGCCTGGGGTGTCAAGGCTGCAGTGAGCCATGATTGCAGCACTACACTCCAGCCTGGAAACAGAGCAAGACTCTGTCTCAAATGAAAACAAAAATCTTAAGCCCACCAAGGGGATCATTAAACTTTTCAAAGGCATTGTATCCACATGAAATTCAAATTATATGAAGAGCAGTTACCAATCCAGTTATAGACAAAATAAAATGGAAGAGGTTCAGCTCCCTATGCCCCTGGTATATTATTCTGGAAATAATTACAATATCTTTTTTTAAATATTAATTTTACGTGAATAGCTAATACTAAGTTTCAGGTAGTGTGAAGTGCTTTATATATGTTACCTTGTTTAAGCCTCTTAATAATTCAGTGAGTGGGGTATTACTACTGACATTTTATAGGGGAAGAAAGTGAGGCTGATCGAATTAGGTAACTTCCCCAAAGATACCCAGCTAGTGAGTGCCAAGGGTTAAAACGTAAAAGCAGGTCTGACTGGAGTCATCTGAGCTATATCCTTGCCTAAAGAAAGGGCTGATTTCAGCCTGAACCGCAGCACAAGTCACACGAAACAGCACAGCTCAGTTGGTTTCCCTCCTCCACCAGCATGCAGGCATTTCGGCAAAAGAAAGGAAAGGAAAGAGCAATCTAAGCTCCTTGCACTGCTAATGTGGTCCCTAACGACAACAAGTTAAGGGTTAAGCCACTAAAACACTGGCCCTCTGGAAATCGAAAGACTAATTCAAGCCCTTTGGAGAAGGTTTCTCTGCTGTTTACGGAACATGGAGCTGCTTATGTGGAAGAAACATTGAGCGATGTAGCTCAGCAAACCAGCTACTGCGCAGCCAACCCAGGGCACAGTCCCACCCATTCCTGCACTTCCTCAAGTCAGTGTCACAGGGCCTCACAGCCCCCTCCTGGGGCTCTTAACTGCCAAAAAAAAAAAAAAGGCAGGGGAAGGGGGTTCTGGAATCACAAGGGATTTAAGATTGATGAACACCAAGAAAAAGAGGCAAACAGAACTCAAATAATAAGTCAGAAAAAGACATCAAATGGGTGCCTATTCAATACATGAAGCAACACTAAGCTGTTATGAAAAAAGAGTCAGTTAGAGATCTTTCCAAGAAAAAATATAATTGTTGAAATAAAAACTCAGTAGATACTATGAACTGGAGAGGGAAAAAGGCACAACGAAGCTGAAGAGCGAATGACCGAACAAGAAGACAAAGCCAAGAACTCTTCAAAAATGGGGCACAAAGAGATTTAAGGAAAGTTAAGAAAGCTGGGAGCAAAGACGCCAGTGGCAAGAGGAGTCTAATTCCAGAGTTGCGCCAGAACAGGGGGAATGCACAGGACGCCACACTTGAAGACAAGAGACAGGAGAACGTCTCTCCCAGAAAGAAAGACACAGTGTCAGATTGCAAGATCTTAAAAAAAAATTTAAGTTGGATTTTGCTAAAATTTAGCTTCAGTCCTGCAAGGCACTGTTAAGAGAATGAAAGACAAGCCATAGACTGGGAGAAGATATTTGGAAAACATTATCTCTGAGCTTTTTTAAAGAGTTGGTATCCAAAATACACAAAGAACTCTTCAAACTCAAAAACAGGAAAACAACCCAATTAAAAAATGGACAAAAGATCTAAACAGACATTTCACCAAAGAAGAGATACAGATGGCAATTAAATATGGAAAGATGCTCAACGTCATATGTCATGAGAGAATTACACATTTAAAAAGCAATGAGATACCACTACACATCTACCGAATGGCTAAAAGGCAAAACACTGAAAGCACCAAATGCTGGTAAGGATGTGCAGCAACAGGAGCCCTCATGTATTGCTGGTGGGGATGCAAAATGCTACAGCCACTTTGGAAGACAATCTGGCAGTTTCTTCCAAAACTAAACATACTCCTAGCATATGAACCAGCAATCACACTCCTTGGCATTTTTCCAAAAGACTTGAAAATGTATGTCCACACAAAAACCTGCACAGGAGTGTTTATAGCAGCTTTATTTATAATTTCAAAAAAAGTGAAAGCACCCAAGATGTTCTTCAGTAGGTGACTTGATAAACTCCAGTGCATCTAGGCAATGGAGTATTCTTCAAGGATAAAAAGAAATGAGCTATCAAGCCATGAAATGACATGGGGGAACATTAATTGCACATTGCTAAGTAAAAGCAGCCAATCTGAAAAGGCTTCACACTGTATGATGCTAACTACATGACATTGTGTAAAGAGCAAAACTGTAACTATGGAGACAGTAAAAAGATCAGTAGTTGCCAGAGGTTAGAGAGGAAGGGTGGGATAAACAGGTGGAGCACTGGGGATTTTTAGGGCTCCACCTGTGAAACTCTTCAGTATGATACTACACTGAGGGATACATGTCATTATACTTTGTCACAGTGTGATAGTGTGATATGGTGTGACACTATGGTGCTGAATTCACAGTGTTAACACAGAGAGCATCTCCACTTCCTCTGCACAGCACTGCCAACGTTGCCCTGTAATATCTCGTCAATATATCATCCTGCTCGAAAGAACCTGGTGGATGGTCTCAGAACTCTGGACTAGCTCTCCTACCCTGGGGCTCTACAGCCATACTCTATACCCATGCTCATAAGGCCAAGATCTCCACTGAAAAATATCACAGACTGCAGACAACACAGCTCTCATTACATGGACACACAAATTATGAGTGAAATCAAAGTAACCACACACTGATACAAGTTATCAGACTACTAATCATCACACGGTATTGTCTTTTTTTTTTTTTTTAAGACGGTATTTTAGAGTGGGTATCTTAGAGTGTGTCCAAGGAAGATTTTCACTCAAGAGAAAGATAACCCCGCAAAAAATGCTGGAGGGAGGGGGCAGGGAAGAAAAAAACATTTTAAATACTCAGGGAATCTAAAGACATGACTTAAGTTCTTCACTCTGGTACTATCCTTGGAAGATCAGACAAGTCCCTGGAACTTCACCTTTCATGGCCTTGGTTTCCCTATGTAGCAACGAGGACCTTGACTGTCAGATAATTTTATTTCTGAAAGTCTGCAATTCCATAAGTAATTGATTAAAATATTTGAACTAGGTGATTTATAATAGTGTTCACCAATAGAAATATAATGTAGACCGCATATACAATTTTAAACTTTCTAGCAACTGCACTAAAAAAGTAAAAAGGAATACATAAAATAATTTGAATAATATATTTACTTAACCTCACATATCCAAAATATTATTTCGATATGTAATAAGCAGAAAACATTATGAATGAACTGTTTTACTTTCCTGTTTCGTACTAAGTCTCGGAAATCCAGTGCATATTTTCCCATTACAGCCCAGCTCAACTGTGACTCACTATTTCTTTAGCCACCTGCCACTGGTGGCCACTCTGCTACATGGCATAGACCTGTAGAGTCACCTTCAACTTTAATAAGCTTACTCTACAAAGTATTGCCTACTCTGTACAAAGTATCTCAGCTCTCTAAACAACAAATATTAGACAAGCAAGGTACAAGCTCAACAATTCTACTTGCCCAAGACCAGGGAAAGCTCCTCCCTCATCTCTCATCTCCCTGGTTTCCAATTGTATGGCTTGATGGCAACCCAGCTGTTTTCTATCATCACTTGCACTTTTCTCTGATACAGCACAGGTTCAGGCCTCATTGTTTTGCACCTGGGGTATGATAACAGGCCCTAACTGTGCACTTCATTTATAATCTTCACTCATCCCTGTATTTGCATCCAGCCCAGTTTATTCCTACCCAAGAACCCTTCTCAGTTGCCTTCCCACACTGATGTCTTCCTTTCTAGAAAATTTGCCCAGCCGGGCACAGTGGCTCATGCCTGTAATCCCAACACTTTGGGAGGCCGAGGCAGGTGGATCACAAGGTCAGGAGTTCAAGACCAGTCTGACCAACATGATGAAACCCTGTCTTTACTAAAAACACACAAAAAATTAGCTGGGTATGGTGGCACGTGCCTGTAATTCCAGCTACTCAGAAGGCTAAGGCAGAAGAATTGCTTGAGTCCAGCCTGGGCAACAGAGTGAGATTCTGTCTCAAAAAAAGAAAAAGAAAATTTTCCCAAACTCGAACACCAAAAAATCAGACAGCAGAAGAGTTCAATCAAGTTGATATAAATGTATTTCCAAGCTTCAGGAAGGTGCAACAGGAAAATAGAATAGACCCAGAAAGACTGTTTATTTCTATTATTCCATCCAGCACAAATGGACAGCGGAGTAATCTGGGGAACGTGGCATGTTGGGGCAGGAGATGCATCAGAAACGGCACACTATCTTACACGTTTAGCAGGGCCCGTTCCGCTGAGTCTCCTGAGATCTCAGAGGATGGAAGACCACTTAGTTTGTTTGCTACATATACCGTAGCTACTGCTTTGAGGGTTTAAAAACAAAAATCCTGCCATTTTAAAACCAAAGTTACATTTCCTCAATGCATTAGAATAAAGACAACAAAAAGAAAATGGAAGACACTTAAATAAGGATAATCATTATGTGGCTAAAAATAACTGATAAGTGGCCTGATCCCACCGTGCACTAACTGAATACATTATCAGCCAGGCCACTGTTCTCGCCTTTGAATATGAATGAACTGCTCCCTGATATTAACATATCATGACAGTGAAAAAAGCAACTGTCTTTAAACTGAAGCTCTGGAATGAGATTCCAAATGTCAGCATAGAGAAGTACTCACTCACTCCATGGAGTAGTTTGCTTACCCTAGTTTCCCATGTAATCAGTCTCTGTAATGTGCTTAAAATATTTACAGTAATCCTGGGATCCTCAGTGCTGCGTATGGCTTACATGGTATCTCTAGAGATAGAAAAGGGAGAAGGAACACTCAGATGCTTCCCTGCAATGTGTGAAATGTACATTGCTGATGATTTGGCAAAAGATTACACAAGACAAGAACACTTACTTCCGAATGCAAAACCTCTGAATCAAAATTAATGAGCCTGCCTTAACATTCTCTGCGAAAGAGGAGGAAAGAAAAAGACATTTCTCCTATCTGGAGTATTTATTCTCTCCTGCTTTTTCTTAGAAAAGTATGCAAATATGTATATAGAATTTTTAAATAAGAGGCAAGAATAACATATTTCTCAGAGGGATGGTGTGAGAATCAGTAAGATAAGTGTATGAAAAACACTGAAGGCGTATTAGTAATTACCTTTATTATCTTTATTCTCACACACCAGACTCACTACCTTTGCTCTCTTCCCAACAGCACTGCCTGTCATCAGTGGCACAGTATCAGGTGGGCAGAGCTAGAGTCCCTTCGGAGCTAGGAGGGCAGGGACAGGTAGCCAAGTGCTGTCGGTTATGCTGGCTAGTGAGGAATACGCGAAGGAGCTGTTTCACTCCCAGTTTTGGAACCCTGTAGCTATTCACCCTGTATATGGAACAGATGCAGAAAGAAAAAAACATGTCAGCTTGGAAAGCAGAAACCCATACTAACCAACTCTGAAGTGAGAACTCCAGTGAAAGCCAAAAAACAACAAAGTTCTTTTCTCTGTGACAAGAAAGGGGTATTAAAAATTCAGGCAACCTGAAACAATCCAATGAAAATGGCATAAATCTTCCTGTAACATTTTACCGTATTCCTGAATGCAGCTTTTTCTACACTCAGCTTGGAATGATTGTGTTGGAAAGCAAAATGGACAGTACTTGTCAACTAATGATTACAAAACAAAAATGAAAAATCTGGGGAAAAAAACAGAATTAATGAGGATTAGATCACTTTTTATGATGAAATATTAGACAATAAATTTTACAGGGGCAGGGAGGGAGAGAAGAGATGAACCATCAGAGCAAGTGACGTATGCACATAAACACACGCACATGTATCTATGGTAAAATATTGGACCCAGTGAGCCCTCCTGCATCACAGCTGGGGAGTAACCAGCATCATTCCTGCGCTCTTTTTTTTTCCTTTAGAGAAAGGGTCTTGCTCTGCTGTCCAGGCTGGAATGCAGTGGTGCAATAGCTCATTGCAGCCTTGAACTCCTGGGCTTAAGTGATCCTCCTGCCTCAGCCTCTCAAGTAGCAGGGACTACAGGCATGTGCCACAATGCCTGGCTATTTACCAATTTTTTGTAGAGATGGGGTCTCACTATGTTGCACAGGCTGGTCTCAAACTTCTGGCCTAAAGTGAACCTCCCACCCGAGCCTCCCAAAGTGTTGAAATTACATGCATGAGCCACCAGGCTTGGCCATTCGTTACTGTTGTTTTGTTGGTTTTGTTTTGTTTGAGACAGGGTCTCACTCTGTCACCCAGACTGGAGTGCAGCGGTGCAATCTTGGCTCACCGCAACCTCCACCTCGCAGGCTCAAGTGATTCTCCTGCCTCAGCCTCCCGAGTAGCTGGGACTGCAGGCATGCATCACTACCACCTGGTTAATTTTTGTACTTTAGGAGAGACAGGGTTTCACCATGTTGGCCAGGCTGGTCTTGAACTCCTGACCTCAAATGATCCACCCGTCTCGGCCTCCCAAAGTGCTGGGATTGCAGGTGTGAGCCACCATGCCCAGTCCATCCATGTACTTTTATGACACATCTGTGCAGGCAGACCCAGGTAGCTACTGGGGTATGACAGGTCCCCCTCCTTGCTCTACTCCTGGAAGGGCTCTCTCCTGTCCTGGAGTAGGTCCTGTTTCTATGTTTGCCCTTGATGATGATGGGGAGAAACTCCCAGGGCATGGAGGTGAGATCACTTTTATTTTTAGTCCTGCTTAATGGTTGTTAACATTTGTGCTGAGCACTTTTCCCAGCCTAGGTGGATGTAAATAACATCTTGTATCCAGTGTGGTATTGACCAGAAGTTATATTTAGTAAATGTAAAAATTCAAGGAGGAAGAATAGAGACCCTTCTTCAGAGGCATCGTATATACTTCCTCTCATAAATGCTTAAAAACTTTTTAGAAAATAACTGTAAAATACTCCATTTGCCTAGCTGGCACCTCTCTCCGAGGAGGGTTTAAGATAATGCATCCGTTGTAAATGTAAAATCAATTATTGAACAACGGAAGCCGTCCACAGAGGTGCGTATTGGCCACCTGTGGGGCAGAAGACAGCCTTGCAGGCAGGACTCCTTTCAACAGAAGGTGATGACCTTCAGAGCCACTAGAGGATGAACGCTCTATCCAGAATCAGAGCTCCTGGTGAGTAGGTGCTTATTCCTGTAACCATTTACACAGGATAATGACAGTAAAAGAACACTTAAATTCTCCTGCGATGACAATGCGGTCCTCTCCTAGTTAGGCCTCCATCATTAGATTTAATAGAGGGGAAAATAATAACGAAAGTGTTTGCCAATTTTTCTATTCCATGGGAAACTACCGAGATGGAGGACTTTGCCTTAGATGACGATGGACAGCATGGGAGAGATCTGACATGTTGTCGGTATGATCTTTCATGTGTCAATTAATGCATGCACTTCTATGCACATACTCACAGACCGTTACAAACACCCATGAAGTACAAACTCTTATTTTTAACAGAAGTTAAAAATTATTTAAATTTTTACTCTGTTATCTATATCATAAGTAAATGAACCTTTTGAATGTCATCTAGATAGAAATGGCAGTTTTTTGTTTTTTTTAGAGACAGGGTTTCACCATGTTGGCCAGGCTGGTCTCGAACTTCTGACCTCAGGTGATCCACCCACTTCGGCCTCCCAAAATGTTGGGATTACAGGCATGAGCCACCGTGCCCGGCCTGAAATGGTAGTTTTAAAATCTGAATTCAATTCTCTTTAAAGTCTGGGGTTTTAACCCCCATATGCACTGACCTTAAGAAACTTCCAAGCAGAATCTAGACCCTTAGACCAAGTCCAAAAGTTGCCCATGACAGAGTTGAGTAAAACTGTATTTACTGAACACATACAGGGTGGTATAGGAAATGGAAGCAGGAGAAATTAGATTATTGTCTTTATCTCCTATCAAGGAAGAGAAAACAATGTAGAATCAATGAATGTATTCTGTTCCACTTAGATCTGATATTGAACTAGGCAGGTGGGCTGTAAGAACCACACTGAACTTGCTAATTAGCTGGTCCTGACAGAAATTACGCAGCAAGTAAGGAATTTCTCTGAATTGATTTTTCATTTGTAAAGTGAAGGGATTAGACCATCTCTGAGATACCCTCCAGCTCTTACATTCTCAAATTAGTGCTGCTTATATTTTCAGCTGCTCATATTTTCAGCTGCTCTGATTCTCCTTGAAACTTGGGACAGGTTGTTCTGGCAAAAACAGAAAATACACACAAAAAACACCTTTGATGACCAGCAGAGGGCAGGGTGAGCGGGGTGTGGCCTTCAGAGGAGGTTCTCCAGGAGCAGTTTCTAGAAGGTTTGTAGTCCTCTGTGTTCTGCATTTGGTCTGCGCATTTCCTGCCTGCCTGTTCTTTCACCAAGCCCAGAAATCCAGTAAGATAGGGAAGAGGCTGCCCTAGACAGCACTGATGCGGTCGTCCATAGAAAGCAAATTCCTTCCTTTGTGTCCCCACTGCTCCCCTCCCACAACCCCCGACACCCACATTCACATGCACGCACTTAATTTCCTTACTCATTTGGGTCAAGATGAGAGAAGAGAGTTGAGAGTTCTTCCCATGTGTCTTGTAATCATCGCCTAGACCATAAGCTCCGTGAGACACACTGCTGTGTACACTGCTCTGTCTCTAGCACCTACAACCATGCCTGGCACATAGAAGCCACTGATATGTATTTGCCACTGACTTTGTTTCCATTCCAAGGGGCTCCACCCTGAGCAGACTGTAAGCTCTACCAGGGCAAGAGGACCCCCATGCTCACAAATCTTTGGATTTTCATCATTTGGTAAAATAAGACACACTAGCACCAAGTCGACATTTGGGGAAAGGTAAAACTGATCCAAGTGCAATTGAATATGACAAGAAATTATGTCAGAATCGTTTTGAAAAACAGTATACAGTTCAGCATATAATCTTGAAGCTGACTGCGATCTGTAATCCTTTCATCATTAGTTTATTTTTTAAAGATGAGAAGTAGATGGCTTCATTTAAAAACATACATCTTCGTTTAGTATTTTTATAGGAGTACACGATTGTCAGGCCCTTTGCCCCAGTTACCATCAGTGTCCCCAGGAGCCCACACTATGCAGATCCTCTTTCTTACCCATACATTACACAAATACTCTAAACAGACCCCACCTCAGAGCCTCCACTCTGTCTCCTGGAACTTTCAGCCTATCATCAGCAAGGTCCCTCACACCCCATCCCTCAGACTATTCCTGAAACTTCTTGCCTTAACTGCTCTGCTAGGAGGACCCTGCTCCTCGTTGTTACTCTCAGATCACTGCCTTCCCCCTACTCCCTAAAAGCTCCCTGCATTGATGTTCATGCCGTCAGACTGTAGGACAGTGTCAAAACAAAACCACCTCTCCTGAACTCACATCTTCCTCCAGCTATCACTCAATCTGCTTCTCCTCCTCCCTTTTCTGCCATATTCACCCAAAAGAGTTTTTTAGACTTGCTGTTTCCAGTTCCTGTCCTGTAACTCTCTTACACCTGCTCTTTTAGGCATTCTTCCTCACTATGACCTGTTAACAGCTCTTTTCAAGATCGCCAGTGACCTCCACTTACACGACAGGTCTCCAGCCTCATCTTCATTGAGCTCAGCAGCACCCGGCACGGGAACACCCCACCCCTTCCTGAACATCTCCTCTCTGAGTTTTGAGCATCCTCTCTGGAATGAGCTCCCTGGCCATCCTCTCAGGCCCTTTCTGTTATCCCTCATCTCCCCAGCCTCACAATGTTAGAGTGCCCAGGACTCTATCCAAGGACCCCTCTCTTTTAGGCCACTTCTATACACATTGACAGCTGTGACTGATCACAGAATTCTTAGAGGCCAATGTAAAATGAAAATGTAGGCCCTTGTTCAAAAAGTAAGACTTTCAAGACAGAACACCACGCAGAAGAGTCAAGCAAGTGCAGACTCTTCTAAGAGCCAGACTGCAGCTGCGGGGCAAACACTCTTGGAGCCCGTCCTGCCGAGGACTCTTAAATCTCTGTGTCTGGCCTTGCACAGACTCATAAATCCCGCTCTCTACTAATCATCTCCACTTAGCTCTATAGTAGATATTTCATACCGAACTCTTCACACCCTCCCTCTCTGCAGAAGGGAACCCTGGTCCTCTGCACTTTCACCATCTCAGCAAGGGGTGCATTCTTCCAGTGTCTCAGACAAACATTCTTACAGCCATGTTTGATTCTTTTCTTGTACTGAAGCCCCACATCCAAACCATGAGCAACTGCCTTTGGCTCCACCTGCAGTGTTACAGACCAGGTATCCCCAGGTCTCCTCGCGCTGCCTCCATCTTGGGAAACCCCCAGCCTGGATGACTGCGCCCTCCCACTGTCTCTCTGCCGAAGCTCTTCCCCGCTATTTAGTCTTGACCCTGTGCCCTGTGACCTCTTCAGGCTGGGATTTTCCTCAGAACGAATGTGAAAGTGTCCTGACTTTACTCAAGTTTAGTAACATTGGCTTAAATTACCTGATAAGCTTGCTTCCCTCTCAGGTTACTCAACTACAGAAATACAAAAGTCGCTTAAATTATTATGCGCCTGTTTTCTCAAAAAACATAGAAAAGCACGAAGACAAGTGACCCCAGCTCCAAACTGTACACCCTCCACCTTCCTCATGTCAAAGATCTGCCTGCAAACTTGCCGCAGTCCTGAAACGGTACGAAATCATTTTTCAGGCTCCTCTTTCAAGCCTGCATTAGCTAGTAGTCTAGGTAACCTTATCAAGTGTCACGGCCACATGGCATCCGGCTCACGGCATCACGGTTTCTAAATGTGCTCTCCCCGCTGGCCTCTAGCAGTGTGAGTGGTGAGTGGGGGTGGCATATGCGTTTTCGGCTTTAGGTTTAGGTTTAGAGTTCCAACGCCCAGGCGCCTGCAGGCAGGGTGTGTGTGCACCCGTGCGTGTGTACCCGTATGTGTCTGTGTGTGTTCGCGCGTGTGCGTGTGTGTGTGTGTGTTCGTCTCCAGGTGGCTGCAGGGAGGGTCACGGGCCAGTGCGTCGCGGCTGTGCGCGCGCGAGGACCTGGGGCACCAAGTGGTGAGAATCACTCCAGGGCCCCTTCGGATGCCTTTTCCCCCTCTGCCTTTGAGCTCTGCAGCACCGCGGAGCCGGCCGCCGGCGGGGAAAGCCGGATCTTCTCTGCGCGGCCAAACCGTGCACACCACCGCGGGGGCTGCCGCCTCGGTCGCATCCCTGAGCCGCATCCGTGCGCAGGGGAGCACGGGCACGCGCACGGGGCGCGCGCGCGCAGACACACATGCACGCACACACACACACACACATCTGTCCCAGGGACGGCCCGGGGGTCTCTGACGCCCGCCGCTCCCCTCGCCCAGGCTTGGGGCCTTTTGGCCACGCAGCGGCGTCGGCGGATTCTGCAGCCCAGAGGCCCAGGGAGCCCAGGGAGCCCAGGGAGCCCAGGGAGCGGAGCCGAGGAAGGGGAGCACGGCGCGGGCGGTGCAGTGTCTCAGAACCGCAGGCGCGCCCCGCGCCGCCCCCGCCCCCGCCCCGGGCCCACCCTCCCCCGCCGCGCCCCTCCCAACTCACCCACGGACGAGCGGATCCTCGACCTCCGCGGCAGGGACATCTTAAGAGCCTTGTCCAGGCCTGTGCCGTTCAGCATCTCGCCCGTGTCGGGGGCTCGGCGGCCCCGGGCGAGAGACGGAGGCGACGCTCAAGGGTGGGCGCAGGGGCCGCGGCCCGAGGGCCATGGGTGGACCGGCGCCTCGCCGGGCTGCGAGCTCGCCGGGACCGCCGGCGCCTGTGCCGGGCCGCGCCCGAGGCTGCGCCGTCCGTGCCGCAGCGGCCAATGCGGCAGCGCCCGCGAACGCCACCGCGGCGGGCCCCGCTGGCCCGGGCTGCGGCGTGGGGGCGGGGGACCGGCCCCAAGCGGAGGCCGGCGGGAGGAGGAGCGGACGGGAGGCTGGGAAGGATCCGCAATGTTACGCAGGACCGGGGGCTTTTAGGTGGCGGGGAAGGCGATGGGGCGGGCTTGGTGGGGTGGGGGATTGGGCTGGTGCTTTCGAGGGCTCTTCCCGGAGAGGGGCACCCGAGGGGGGCTCGGAGTCTCGGCCTGTCTGCTATTTACCTGCCTGTCACTTGTTATGTGTTAGTGGAGGCGCTGTCATCCCCCAGGACTCTTAATGCCCCTTTCTTTGCGCAGTTTCTGTTCTTCCGAGCCCAGCCTGGTGGGATCTGGGTAGGGTCTTCATGGAACGGGTATTTCCAAAGTGTCTGATGTGTGACTTGGCACTCAGAGAAGTTGGGGGTCTCCAGCTCCCCACTCTCCACAACCTGCCTGGCATTCTAACCAGGCATAGTAAAGCTGCAGGTAGCCCTAGGGAACCTTAGCAGCACCGCCCCCCCCCCCCCACACACACACACCCATCGACACACACACACCTTCCATCGAGAGGTAAGGTGACTGGTCCAAGGTCACTTGATCTATTTTTTGTTTTTCTTATCGCTTAATGTTCAGATTGTGCTTGGTCTTTCCGGGCACAATCCCATGAAGAAAAAAAAAAAAAAGCTAAATCTTTATTGTACCTGATGACATTCTGACCTCCGAATAAAAACGGAACAACATAACAGAAAACCCTTCAGTATATGCCTGACCTTGCATTTACTGATGCGATCATTACACTTTCTTTAACCTAAATTAACATTAGGGACTGACGAGGAGTACAGAGTTCAGCACAAAGGATCGGTGCTAGCAAAGACAGCAGTGCGGGCTGCTGCCTGGCCTCTGCCTCTGGTTTTCTAAAGAACAAACATCCAGAAGGGACAGGCAACTTGGCTTGAAAACTACAGGCTGGCAAGAGTTTACACTAAATGCAGCTTCAGTTAGGATTCTTTACCCATCTGTTATGGGCCCTCAAAACAATTTTCTGATAAGAAATGAATCTTTATCAGGAAATTGAAGAAAAACAACGTTTTCTAAATTGGTGAGTTAAGCTTCAGAGTGGGGGATGTTTTCTCAGTGGCTCTTCATAGCTGCTGAGGATAATCTTAAAGCTGGGGTTAATCCTAGGACCGGATTTGTCAAAAACTTGTCACTAATGATTCAGTAAATTTTCTGTCTATGATAACACCTTGAGGGCCTAACCAGAATTAAAAGGGACTTAAAAGGAAAATGTGTTTTTTTCAATCCTCAAACTTCAAGTTAAATAGAAAACATTTTTTTTTTTTTTTGCTATACTTAGATGGGAACAGAAAGAGTAATGGTTATTTTTTATTTTAATCTGCTTTTAAGATGCAGAGTATGTTACATATAGAATATTTGCCTTGACCACTGAGGAGAAATGTCCTACCCTGACATGGTGCAACCCCATCATGAAATGGGGTTGTTGCTTCTCTTTCTGTGTTTATCTCCTGATAACCAAACTGCCCTGATGGCTATGTAGGTGTGTTAAGATAATTCGGTTGGCTCACCTTGAAGATGACAGCACAGACTGCAAGGAGCAGTAGGTGAATATTTCACTGCAACTTGTATTGTCTCCTTGATGTCTTGGTTAATTTCCCTGATCTGGCTGCCTCTTGGGAAGTTGGACAGATTAGTAGACTGGCATTGGCCAGAGTCCAGACCTAAATCCCTTTTTTTTTGAGATGGAGTCTTGCTCTGTGGCCCAGGCTGCAGTGCAATGGTGGGATCTTGGTTCACTGCAACCTCCACCTCCTGCATTCAAGCGATTCTCCTGCCTCAGCCTCCCGAGTAGCTGGGACTATAGGCATGTGCCATCACACCCAGTTAATTTTTGTATTTTTAGTAGAGACGGGGTTTCCCCATGTTGGCCAGGATGGTCTCCATCTCTTGATCTCATGGTCTGCCCTCCTCAGCCTCCCAAAGTGCTGGGATTACAGGCATGAGCCACCTCACCCTGCTTAAATCCCATCTTTGAGGTCTTCAAGGGAAATATATGCACAAAGGACAAAAGCTAGCAAATGAGCAGTATTTATTATTATGCTTAGAATCCAGTGCCACCCAGGTCTGGTGGCTCACGCCTGTAATCCTAGCACTTTGGGAGGCCAAGGTAGGTGGATCATGAGGTCAAGAGATCGAGACCATCTTGGCCAACATGGTGAAACCCCGTCTCTACTAAAAATAAAAAAAATTAGCTGGATGTGGTGGCACGTGCCTGTAATCCCAGCTACTTGGGAGGCTGAGACAGGAGAATCATTTGAACCCAGGAGGCAGAGGTTGTGGTGAGCCAAGAATGTGCCATTGCACTCCAGCCTGGGCAACAAGAGCCTAACTCCATCTCAAAAAAAAAAAGAATCCAATGCCAATGTGGGCCACCCTGTGACCCATGCTTGGCTAGGAGACATCCTTTCACCCTTGCTAGAGGCAGCCTAGGTTAGAACCAAAGGAGATAAAGAAACCTGTGAGGAGAAACAGCAAATGCAAAAGGCACAGCCACCAGGACAGTCAGGGAGATGTGCTCTATCTCTGTGAAAGCAAGAATTCAACAAAGAGAATCTGCCTCAATTCTTAGAGGCACAACCCTACATGTTCATAATACAGGTTAAAAAAAAAAAAAAAAAAAAAGGTAGCCTGCAGCCCCCATAGGAGCCACACCAAGTCCCTACGCTGTGGGTCAATGAATGTCATTGAACTTAACTAAGCCAGAGCGGCCCTTTCCTCCGGGAGGAGGAAGGGAAAGGGAGAACTCCTTTTCTCTCCCTGAAAGGCAGCTGTCTTCATCCTCTCACTATTCTGTGTGCCCCTCTCCTTACACAATAAATTGAGCCAAGACAGACTGATCTCCCAGGAGAGGACCCAAGCCCTCCAGTGCCATGATGGCACAGAGGCTGCCTCTTCCTTTCGTGGATATTCCCAAGGAGGCAGGCCAGATTGCTTCTCTTGGCAGCACACTCCAGTGGGGTTCAAAAACTAGTGTTTTCAAGCAGTTCATCCTCTCACCATTATAAAGTTCTATTTTAAGTTAAGCCTATCCTTCCTTATTAAGTCTTCACGGTCCTAGAAAACAGTCTGCTGGCATCCTTCTCAAGAAGTTCTTTTATACAAATGAAGACTTCAAGTCATCTTTTAAACCCTTCTTTTCCTCAAACTAAAAAAGCCCATTTCCTTTTTAAAATGGTTATGTGTGTGTATCTTTTATATCTGTACACATATATATGTATATATGTAAACATTTTATCTCTTTTTTTTTTTGAGACAAAGTCTCATCCTGTTGCCCAGGAGGGAGTATAATGGTATGAACATGGCACAATGAAGCCTCGACCTTCTGGGCTCAAGCAATTCTCCTCCATTAGCCTCCCAAATAGCTGGGACCACAGGCATGCACCACCACATCCAGCTACTTTTTGTGTTTTTTGTAGAGACCGGGTTTCATCATGTTGCCCAGGCTGTTCTCAAATTCCTGAACTCAAACAATCCTCCTGCCTCACCTTCTACAGGTGCTGAGGTGGTTCATGCCTGTAACCCCAGCACTTTGGGAAGCTGATGTGGGCAGATTACGAGGTCAGGAGTTCGAGACCAGCCTGGCCAACATGGTGAAACCCCATCTCTACTAAAAGTACAAAAATCAGCTGGGTGTGGTGGTGGGTGCCTGTAATCCCAGCTACTCAGGAAGCTGAGGCAGGAGAATTGCTTGAACCCAGGAGGTGGAGGTTGCAGTGAGCTGAGATTTTGCCACTGCACTCCAGTCTGGGTGACAGAGCAAGACTCCATCTCAAAAAAAAAAAGAAAATGGCATATAAGTAGCATGTTAAAAATTATACATAAGCATGTAGCAATCATCCCTGTACTAATTCTTCTGTTGAGGAAACAAAGCAATAGAGGCCTGCTGGAAGTCCCTTGTGTACTCATCCTCATCCCTTTCCTTTCCTTCTGTCCCCAGTGCCTTGGGCCTGTTTTCTCTCTCTTGATTATTATTTTAAAACTTAACAACTAAAAAGCCACCCTGACAGCATTTGGCAAAGGATCCAGGAAGGGAGCTGAATCAATGGAAATCTTTATTCTTTTATTATGCATTCTGTAAGTGAGTTTTGATGACTCTTAACTCTTCTCAGAATTCTTCTCATTTTACATATTCTTTTTGGAGAGCAGTGTCCCAAACAAGACTAGGAAGAAATATTTAGAACTCTGAATCACTGTCTTCCTAATAACAAAAGCAACAGTTGCCCCAGACCCCCTCCCCAAAAGTTATTGCACTCATTCATTAACATCACGTCTGGCATTTGATGCTGGTTGGCAGCTGGAATCTTAGCTGGGGCTGTCAGGTGGTCAGCTGGTATACTTACCTGCAGCCTTTCTGCCTGGGCTGCCCCACATCCCAAGGGTGGACATCCCAAGAGACAGCACCAGGTGGAAGCTGTATCACATAATCTAACCTAGCCTTGGAAATCACGCAGCATCACTCGCACCACCTGTTAAGGCAATCACAAAGGCCTGGTCAGGCCAAGGGGAAAGGAAATAGACTCCATCTCTTGATGGGGCAATGACAAGATTCTGGAAGAATGTGAGAGCTGGAAGCATTGTTGCAGCCATTTTTAGAAATACGACTTATCAAAGCTGGCAAGGAGCATTTCATTTTCATAACATTTATAATTGCACCAAAATCACATACTGTTTATGGAAAAATTAATGAAAGATGTATAAGACCACCACACTGAAAACAAGGCATTTGGACTCCCGAAGAACAAAAGTGAAGGACTTAATGCTACTCGATTTCAAGCCTCCCTATGATACCATTACCAATCAAACAGTGCGTTATAGGAATATGAATAGACAAATACATCATTAAACCAGAACAGAGTCCAAAAATAGATCCACACATACATGGTTAACTAATTTCGACAGAGGTATCAGGGCAATTCAGTAGAGAAAAGGCAGTCTTTTC